GACGAGAAGCCATCCTCCTGAAATAGAACAAATCGGAATTTAAAATTCTTTCAGCGTTTTAAGCCTATTTTCAATAAAAGAAATCACACAGCTTGAATAAAAAATGAGATTTCACAATTCCAATACGAGCTCGAGATTCCTGTCGCTTGATAGTTGACAAAGACAAATCCCAAATAAGCATTATGCATATGAATCAAAAGTAAATTATCAAATTGTTTCAGCAAGATCTATTAGTCGTTCAAAACTTAACAACAAGAAAACCTCATATTTTTATTTTACCTTGTTTATAATAACGCAATGTTCCTAATTTCTTTACTCACACGGAATAGACAGCGAGTAAAGTAACCAATTCGAACGCAGCTTTTGCGAGAAATGGCTTGGATGTACATTTTTATTAAAAGAGATTATAAATGGTAATGTTAGCACCAAATTAAACCTTAAAAAAGTAAATATTTTCTAAAAGTTTTTCCACAGCTATGCGTAAATGATTAAGCCCAAAATTAATACGTGATGCGTAAATTTTACAGAAAGACAAGGCCCGGTGAGGTGAAATTTGAAGTTTACCCTTTTGGATTTGTGACGTGTGAAATAATGTTTAAAGTGCAAGTGATGCGTGAGTTTTTCGAAACTTTTAATGAAAACTGAATTCGCCCTGATTCAGCAGTTGTAAGACAAAAGAATAATCGCTTTCTTGTGAATGAGTCGTTTCCATACTTAGCTTACCTCCTTCCGTAGTCATGTCACAGAAGACTTTTATGGGCTTGCAACTGTTCTCAGGGTCGATCCAGTACTCTCCGTCCCCTACGGAGTCCCATAAGTCCCGGATGTCCTTACATGAACGAGGAGCTATCAAAATATCAAAGTCAACACTAAAGCTGCGACCGATAAACGCCGCCTGCTTTTGCTCAACTAAGAGCCAAAGCTACTGTGACATTACTCGAGGAAGGCCCATTCATCCTACCTGGAAATCTCTCCCCGAACAACACTTCTTTACGTTATATCTCTGATAATAAAGAAATAAGTTTAACTATGAGAGGGAGTAGGGATGGCGCAGTGGTGAGAGGGCTCCCTCCTAACATTGTAGCCCGAGTTTTATTCCCGGGCCTGGTGTCACATCAGAGTCGAGTTTATTGTCAGTTCTCGTCCTTGCTCCGAGGGTTTTCCCCAGGATCTTTCAACTCTTCTCCCTCCACAAAAACCAGCATTCCACTTTCCAATTTAACCTAGAAACAGCGGACGAGAAGAGCCACCAGATTTTCCTCTATAGATCAAAGTTTTACGTAGATTTCACAGGTTATAGCCAACTCCAATCCACCAAACGACTTACATAGGGAAATTATAAATCTCTAGTTCCTCAGGGCAGGTAAATAGCTTTTTTGAAAATCCCGCTTGACAGGTACTTTGCCAGATTTCAGCCTAAACAAGATCTTACCATTTTGACATCTTTCTCCAGTCCAAGGAGCCTTGCACCAACATTTAAATGTTTGTTTGTTTTCGTCAAGAATGCAAGATCCACCATTGAGACAACCAGTCATATCACATCTCTGTGAATAACATAACAATGACAATCTTCAAAATATTCAAAATAATGTTGTGACGTCAGTAGGAAACTGGCTTGAGCAAATTCGCTGAGTGGAAAGTGCCGAGATTCTTGGAACACAACTGAGCTTTCTTCTTTAATGTATCATGTTTTGCTGCTACAAAGTTCACAGTATTTTCTCCTTGATTAGTTTAAACTCTGACTCTTAATCCAATACTTTCGACCACAACTCCAAGTAAAACTCTCTATTAACAAAAAGCTATGCGCTTATATTCTAATTTTATTATTTTTATCAACCTTGGAAGATAACAACACACTTGTGCTCTATGTGAGATAGTGGCGTGCACTTATAACCATTGATAAACAGTGTAAAGCACGAAAGGCTCATAGATAAATAATAACCTTTTTAGTGAGAAAACACTGAATATTACGCTAATAAAACAGCGTAACGTCTTATGCAAATGAAATACAATGATAATTATAGAACGCGAAGTTTTTATGAGACCGAAAAGAGCCTTATTTTGGCTCCTTCTTTATAAACAAAACACTAACACTTGCCAACACTAGTGATGTCACATCAAACTCCAGTAACTTAAAGTTTGAAATACTGATTGTTTTTATTGATTACATGACTGTTGCATTTGTAATCATCTCCTCCATTTATTGTCTATGGAATTGTCATATCAGTTGCACTATGGTCATCATTGTCTTCTTTTTAATAATTACTTTTTCACTTTAGATTGTGACTAAACCATTTCAGCCAAGTTCCAGTGCAACATAAGTTTTTCATGATAGTTACACATAATATGAGATAAGAGACATCAGAAAGTAAATCCAGAGAAATGACAAAAAAATACGAGAAAACGTGTGAACACAATTTCTTCCCATGTCATACCTTGAGAAACATGGAGTATGTTACACCTTGCTCGTCTTGAAACTCGGCATCTTCGTCGAGGAATCCGTGTTGGTTTAGTTCACAAGTTCCTCGGTCGTTTTCCTTTGATGGCTTCTTGAAGTTTGTGGAAGAACACCATGAATTTCTGAGACAGGAATGGCTGCACGACGTTAAACTGGGTGAGTTAAAACTATCAACAACATGGCCTTTCAAGCGCATGTTTTCCTGTATGGAAAATATTGCTCTACGAGAAATAGGAAGCTGTTTAGCGGCAGCGACGATTATCAAATACATAATTCCGTGAAACACAAAAAACAAAGTCTTTTTTGGGTTCATTTTTTTAGAAAAATTCAAGAAACAGATGGGAAACTGCGAATTAAAAGGATTGATTTACATTTTTAACATGCAACTTAACGCATGCTCCATGAAAACTTTCTATGTCCTTTTTGCCAAATGTTTCCTTTTTTTTAAAAAAAAGCATTCGCTTGTTTTGTTTTGTTTTGTTTTGTTTTTTTATGAAGAATAATACTTATCATTCAGCGGCGACAACTGCTCTATATGCGACAGCCGCAAGAACAAAAAGTCAGAAAGTTTTTTCCAGTGATCATTTTCAAAGGGAACTTTAAACTGGTTGAAAGTATAATTTTAGGAATATTCACCAGGTTGGCAGTTAACAAAAGCTCTTTTGACATTCGCGTATTAAACAAACTTTTAATAAAACTAGAATTTCCGTTTGCGCACTTATTTCTAGCGTTGTTAACAATGGAAACAAAACTAACGAGGCTTGAAATCCTTCATAGATAAAAGAACATCAAGCCTGGTTTCTAATATGTCATACCAAAAATTAATTGAAAAATCATTCCTTTGAACAGTTTAGGCCATAGTTTAGGCCACTTGCTATCATTGCATTTCTTTGAATCATTTGGGACCTTAAACAGCGAGGAAGGCAATTTCAGGGAAGACGTAGATTAAAAATTAAATACATATTTTTAGTTAGACTTTCGTGAATGGATGGATGTCTTGCAGCACCACGCTTCAACTTCAGCTTCACGTTTGGAAGTAGTGTTTAATTCCAGACGGAAACTTAAATAATTTAATTTGCCGTCGGGGTTTCCTTTCTTAATCCACGCAAATTTTGGGGATTTCACGTTGTTGTTTCGTACAAATTTTCAAAACGCACGAGCGGAGTTCTTGTTCTCCCCATTAGATCTTTTGCTTTGTCACCTCGTTTCCGTCGCTGTCATGGTTTGCTAAAAGTGCCTACCTTAATTTGAATAACAATAGAAGCCAGGTGCACACAAAATGTGAGGGAACGGACCTGAGGCCATAGATAGACCAGGAGAGAATGTATGTGCCCCATCTGTAATCAGATGCTTTATGGCACCAGTTAATCACTTTTAACAAAATGCCATAAAATCTGTCAACAGTATTCACGTTGGGCAAGAAAATTAGCTTGAATATTAGTTCGCGAATATGATCAGCCGTCACCGATTAGCAAACAGTTGTCTGCATTCGAAATTAGCCCATGTAAGTGGCGTTTTGCATAAAATGAGCGATGGAGCTCTTCCGTTTTTATCATTTTTAAGTCTTGGGATTAAATACTTGACCAAATTTGCCCTATTAGATATTTCCTGTAGACTTTCTCCCAGGCCCTCAAAGTCAATCCATTCTGAGATGTAAACTGGGAATAACATTACGTGACCGAACGAAAAAAAGACAAACAAAGCATGGATGGGGAAACAAAGAAACTCCAGAATGACACATGACTCTTACCTCAAACTTTTTCCAACTAAGTATCCAGATATGCAAACTCACTTTTCGAAAGTTGCTATACACCCAGTTCCCCCTTAGATACCATATTGACAGGTGTCTTTCAAGAAGCCATCGCGGCACGCTTTACTTATCTCCGCAGCCATTTCTTTTACAACACAGCCTCGCAAGAAGAGCGTCCCGATGGGGTACAGTTGCTTTCTCACAAAGCATCTGCACGGTAAATTTTCTCATATTTCTGTCGTTAAATTTCCATCACAATCCTCTAATGTGAAGGAACCTTCGCAAGATGGACAGCCTAGGAATGAAAAGCACAAAGGATAGCTCTAACTATGTTTTCAATTCATTAGTCACTTGTTGATCGTTTGTTTGGACTTAAATGTAGTGATGTATCGTTTTATTGCGAGAGTCCATACTTACAGAAGGGGGGGGGGGGGGGGAGGTTGAAAACTTGTTTCTTTCACTACTCTTTCAAGTTTCGATGAAAATCAGCAGGCCCTTAAAAGCCAGTTAGACCCTGTCACAAAATGATATTACCAGATTCTAATTAAATTTTGACAGCCGAATCGTTCATTAGTGATTATCTGACGGTGTGGATAATTCTAATTATAAAGGAAAGGAGAAGTTAAGAGTCTGTCCGCGAGAGGACCAGGCAGGCGTGACACATGCCATCTCACCGATTTCTTTCAAACTTTCACAGTTTATGAGGATCAATAAGTTATTGAAGAATCCAGAGTGGTTTGGGCTCGCGGCTGATCCCTGAGGTATCCCTATTTAGAGCCCCCTCATCAAATTCCTAGGGTAAAGGCTAAAATTAGCTCGAAAAATGCACTTCCAACGAATTTCTCTCACACTAACAGAGCAATGGATTGTCCAAAGGTTGTTTGACTGACGAAAGAGAGACCAAACAAGGCGTGGAGAAGAGCTGTAAAAAAGAAAATGAGGGCCAGAGGCTGGATATGGGTTAGCTTGACGGATAGGCAACCAAAAGAAATCAATGGCGTTCTATAGCTGAGGCCCTATGTGCATAGGCGCAGCAAGAGGACCAACTAACATGCTTATGTATGGTTACCAAATGTACAAGTTTTTCCTCTTAGTTTAACGACGCATTTCTGTTTTGCGTTCAGCTTTTATTCAGCTAGAACAATGTCTTTTCAAATTGATTAGTAGCGTGCAGTGTCTTTTGAAATCTTTAAAACAGGTGAACTGATCGGATTCAAATTTGCACCAATACACGGACACGTACCACAGGTGTAAGAATGACGAGTTGTTTCAATATAAATCAATTGGTAAACAGAAGAGAATCGCAGAGGATAAAAGATGTCTAAAAATTTGTTTTTCTTCTTATACGGTCGATAAGAAATGAAGTTTGCTTAGGGTTAGTCTTAATGTAAGCTTTTCGAGTAATCTGATCATGTTTTAGCAAACTTCTGATGTTTCTTTTTTTTAATACTAGTAGTCATTCGAGGAACAGTTTAGCAGTTTTGCCTTCCAATGTAAGCGTACTGAAACCCTCTCTATAAACCTGCAGAGATCACTCATGGAGACGACCCAATGTGCAAATAAAAACAAAGCAGGGAATTATAGAGCGAAAGTTGTCAAAAAAGTCGGCCAGGAAGGGCAAGACTACATATTAGAAGAGGGCAGACATTATCTGTTCCGAGATGCGAACAGTTTCCCGAGAGCGAAGCTAATGGAAAACTGTGAGCTCTGAGCTGTGAAGGATATTTTTCTTGTACTTGTCCTCAGTGGACAATATCTGTTTGTTGAAGCTCACAGTTTTCCTCGAGCTTTGCTCCAGGAAACGCATATTTTCGCATATTTTTCGCGCCAAATGGAGGCTATTGTCTCTACTTGATAATTTGGAATTTATGCATCACGTTTCACTGCGTGCGCTGCGAACGCCTATTGGACTGGTGTACTCTTACGATGCTTACAAATTTCCTCTTAGTGAAACAACGCATTTCTCCTTTGTGTTCAGTCTTTATTCATTAAGAACTATGTATTTCCCATTTAGCAGACAGTGTTATTCAAAATCTTCTACACCAGTAAAATGATCATGCTCAAATTTCCTCAACAATTTAATCTCCCAAATATTTCAAGATGTATTAAATCCATCATCGTCGTAGTGTGATTGATACCTTGCAGTGCGATTTTTTCACAAATTTTTGGCATTGGTTGTAACTTTCTCTAAGGCAATGAGAAAAAACAACAAGTAAGATTACAGATTTCAGCGCTGTACGAATTAGGCGAGAATAAAAATCACACTAATTTCTTT